TAGCTGCTGATGTCAGAAAACTAGGGCACCAAAGTCTAATAATTACAGCTCTGAAGACAAATGAAGCCACAGCTAGCAAATGTCATTTATTGATCATTACATCACTGCAACATATGTATTTTCTGTGATGGTACAATATCAAATATAACACATGGGGATACAGAGGCTTCTGCTTGTATCATATTCTATCTTCTAATCCAAGATTAAGGACAAAAGCTAAAGTAGCCTACTTGGCAACACTCAAAGCTTCAATCTAATGAAAGATGATTACACTATAAGAAAAATTAATCCCCACTTTTCCCACATTTTCCTTCAGAAAAATGTTATTTTCTACAAACTAAGTAATTTTTAGAAATCATAAAATAGTTCCAAAAGGGCATTTCATTAAATTATGGTTGCTATAAAACGGATTTCTTATTTAACCTGATAAAAGGCAAAACATTATGTTTCATTAGAAATCTCTAAAGCCACTCTGATCTTTCGGAGCTTTTAAAGCTAGTGAGCACAAGATTTCCTGTATTTTAATAGTTCTAGAACTCTTTTGAATGTAATGTCTGAACAATATGAAAGGAAAAACACAGTGTTTTCTAACAGCTTAAAGGATGTTAAGAGAGAGACCTTAAACTGCACCTCTTATTATTTTCAGAATCAGGAGAGAACACAAATAGAGAAACTAAAGTCAAATATCAAAGCAAGAACAAGACCAGAAGTGGTGTTGGACCCAGGCCTCTCAACTCTGTTTCAGAATCAATAATGACCACACAGTTTACATAACTTGGGAAGTGTTGTTTGATCTTCGTTCTTGATTTTGTTTTCTCCTGAAGCTTAATTTTGGAGAAAAGTTACTTTGGGGAGAAAAGAGTCAAACAGTAACTGAAAAAGAGATTAAAAAATTTAAGGATATTTTGTCAGGTCTGCAATACTTTAGTTTTTTAAAAGAATGTTTTGAGTAAACTGAATTTGAAAGGAGGTTTATATAAACAGACACAATAAAGACAGACAATCCATAATATTAACTAATTTTCTGTTTCTTTACCCTTGTTCCTGAGAGATAATAAAATCTTTCGTATAATCAACTGGTTTAGCAAACTAATATAATTACAGTATGTAATCGTAAAGTACTAATCATCTCTCTCCCCCAACCCCTACTTCTTTCTGGATTATAATTTCGTACTACCAATACATAGGCTCTATTCATTAATACTCATTCAAATAATAGCATCTGGTCAGTGTAAGGGAGGCAAGATTAGCATTATTCAAAAATAGTTTAATGAGTTCAATTTGAGAACAGATATTTTTGTTATTTTAAGAAATATTAAATAAAAGCCAATCTACAAAAGCTTGGAAGTTAGCTAAAGTTTTCTTTGGACCTAAGACGAAAAGTTACATTCTGTCTGTGCACTTTGATCAATCACCCAGATGCCTGGTTTACAGGAGGCCAAAGTTTAAAACATCAAAGAGTTTTTAAGTATTTCTCAGAACAGATTCTTTGGAGCAGCATAACCAAAGCCCTTTCAGGTAGTTTGAACACCTAGCGTCATACACCCTGAAAACTTTATATCTCTGTCCTAGGTCTCCATTAGTGATTTAATTAAAACTTCAAAGAGCCAGGATCCAGACAACCTGAGCCCTCATCAATGGTGTATGAAAGAAAAGGACAGATGGAAGTGGGTCATAAGGGCTACTGAGAAAAGACTCCGTCTCCACAATTGGGTTTATTTTTTCCAGGTGGGAGATTTGTTGAGAAGGGCTGACATACAAACATGGGAGAACATACAGTTTGGAGAAAGCCTTTCAGGTGATTTGGTGTCTCCATCTCCTACCAACTACTTTCATGTTAGAAAAAAAATAAATGCTCCAGGCTTGAGAGAGCAAAAAGAAAGACTGATATGTCACTTTGAAAAGTTTCAGGTTCAATCCAGGAAAGCACAGTGAAATTCATCTGGAGAAGCACTCTGACTTAACTTCGTATTATAGCTAACTTACTTATCTGTCATTTCTCACAAACTTTTGAAGGTTTCTGGTTTCAAACTACAGAAATCTAATATCAGGAAAAAAATGCTTCAGCCCAAGTTTATTCCACCCACTGAAACATCCAGAAGGCACTCTGAAGTCTGCATACTTATTTTTTTATTATTTTTATTAAGCTAATACTTTTTTCTTTGGAGGAAGATTATTCCTGAGCTAACATCTGCCACCAATCCTCCTCTTTTTTGCTGAGGAAGATTGGCCCTGAGCTAACATCCGTGCCCATCTTCCTCTACTTTATATGTGGGATGCCTGCCACAGCATGGCTTGACAAGCAGTGCATAGGTCTGCATTCAGGATCCAAACCAGTGAACCCTGGGCCACCAAAGTGGAACATGCAAACTTAACCGCTGTGCCACTGGGATGGCTCCAAGCTAATTCTCCTAAGTGTCCTGTTCAGAACAATCTCTCTTCCTTATCTGACTAACTAGAGTCAACACTCCATCTTGGAGGACCAAGAGTCAGTTAAATCTCGGTGGCCTCATCTCCAGTCAGGGACAGGCAGAGAGGACGAGAGGAGAAAAGAGAAGCATTTACTTCTTTTTTTTTTTTTTTAAAGATTGGCACCTGAGCTAATGCCTGTTGCCAATCTTTTTTCTCTTTCTTCTTCATCTCCCCAAAGTCCCCCAGTACATAGTTGTATATTCTAGTTGTAGGTTTTCCGGTTCTGCCATGTGGGATGCCGCCACAGCATGGTTTGATGAGTTGTGCTAGGTCTATGCCCAGGATCCAAACTGGCAAAACCCTGGGCCGCTGAAGTGAAGCACATGAACTTAACCACTCAGCCACTGGGCCAGGCCCTAGCATTTACTTCTGATGAGTGGGTGTTTGTTGGAATAAGTAAATAGGCAAGTCAGAGCCTATTAATCTCCAAATCGACCACTGAGGAATGACAGCAAGCTAACATACAGAGACAGCAAGGTAAGCTTACAGCCACCGCAACAGAAGAGGGCCCTCTAATTTATAGAAACCATGCTCTGATATGAGATCCAGATCCCCTGGACAACCCAAGAAAAATCAGAAGCTGCTGTACTGGTGACAGAAGCAAATAATAGCAAAAACAATTAAGCAATTACACTTTATTGAGAAGCTGGATTTTTCTGATGAGCAGCTTCAGCATTTACTCTGAGACACCGCCTATCCCCAAATATAACTGATGAAAAACAGTGGTAAACCAAGCTTGATGACACAGGTCTGTGCCAAAGTGTGTGCCATGTTGTACTCAAGGAAGAACTTTTCCATCAAAAAAATAATAGTTTTAAGCAAAGTTAAAAGTACTTAAGTGCGCCTCCTGTGTGATACTGTTATTTTCTACTCATAAAATGCAACCTTTTCCCACAGCTGAAAATGTAATTTTAGATTTCTCAGAGATGTTAAACAATGGCTTATACAGGAGTACAAAGGGATGGTCAGAAATATTCTTTCTGACTTACTAGAGGTATTAAGAAACTCAACAAAAGATTACTTCAGAACTACAAACTTTCTTGTAGGTAGCAAAGTAACTGCAGATAATTGTAGAAGTCACATTTAGGACACAAAGTTAACGTCTAGTATGATTTTTCCCACCTTCCAGAAAATCTTTTACTTCTTGATTTAACCTATGAATCATGGGTTATTCTGAAAACATATTACATCATTACCCAAGAAGTTGCATGAGAAAGTTTGTCCACATCTGAAATTCTAACAAAAGGTAAACATTAATGAAATGTGCAGTTAAAAAAAGTTAATTAAAAGCAAAATTAAATTTAGATACTGAACTTCAGCTAAGAAATTCCCTGAACACAGTATCCCTTCCTTCCTCACAATGTCTAAAAAGTAAAGAGTGCCTGTCCATCCATTTTATCATTAGTTTGTGAAGTGCTTTATTTGCTACCTGTATGAAAATTCAGGCAAAGAATATTTTTCCTCTTCTAATTTTTTTCAGCTCAGAAAAATTTAAAGCAAACAGCAAGAAAAATTTAAAGTGGTGTTTTCATGAGGTCCTTTTCTAAGAGTTGATACCATGGTAAATGGTCTGGTTACTAGGATTAAATTTGTGGTTGGAAAAGTACTCCATTCTAAAAACGCTGAATTTAAAATCAGTCAACATAACTGCACAATTCTGAGTGTTTGGGAACCACAGCTCTACCCAGACCCTATGGAAGGACCAGTGCCATTGCCCATGGTTAAGTTCCTAAAGGATCAAAGGCTGTCACTCAGTTAATAAAGATGTTGCTCCATACTGTCCTAAAAGCAATAAACAACTGCCTGATTTTATACTCTAACAGCTAACGAGTTGTAAACAAACAGAACTAGTTTAGAACATTTTTCTTTTAAAGTTCAATTCCAGTGATAACATGCTATTGCAATACATTCTATATTTAGGGCAGACTGTGTGTGTCCGTGTATCAGAGGTAGTCAGTGATCCACTAACAGGAAGCCACATTTGACATAATTCCCATTTTATAAAATAAAAAATACCACACTGTTTTTAGCTCCTAGAAGTAAAGTTTCCAGTTAGTAACCTCATGACAAAGACAAATATTGCAGTGGGAAAGAGAAGATATACAGAAAAAAAGAACATGGATATGTAAGGAATTAAATATTTTACCTTTTTTTTGTTTTTCTGAGGAAGATTCCCCTGAGCTAACATCCATGCCAATCTTCCTCTACTTTTAGTGTGGGAGCTGCCAGCACAGCATGGCTGCTAACAGAATGGTGTAGGTCTGCACCAGGGATCCAACCCTGGGCCACCGAAACGGAACACGCCAAACTTAACCACTAAGCCAAGGGGCTGACCCCATGTTTTACCATTTTTGATTGTCAAAGAGTAAATATATTTTAAATCATACAATACACATGATGTCAAGTTTAGACAGATTATGATATCATCTCCAAAATCCAATTAGTAATTTACTAAAAACGACAAGAAAAGCAAGATCTCAAGAACCAGTATACATATGTTTCACAACTGTGTTTCTCTGTTGTCTTACCCTGTATGTTGTACAGTCGGACTCTATGGGTAACATGTTCAAAAAAGCAAGTCACGTCTGAATAAAATCTTCCACGTTGCACTCTGACACGGGGCAGTGTTGTGTAAGCATAAGGCTGAGGAGGAAATGACATTTTTAAGAAAAATATTTTGGCTTTTAATTTTTCTGAGAAATGTTTGTTATAGTTTCCAAAATGACAAACACACATCATCTGATATTTGCGATTTTAAGTGAAACCAAACCTTTACACACATGCTATAAAAATTGAACATAAGATTTTTCATTAGACAAAAATGGCTGAAAATAGAAAATAAAAATGTTCACAACTTGATTGGACTGGATGATCTACAAACATTTCCCCACAGCTATAAAAATTTCTAATTAAAATCCTCCTATATTGTCCATATGTCACTTATTAGAAACAGTAATCATTCTACAGCAGTGACATTTTCCCCAGCAAACCTTTATTGTAACCATGGCCCCCTAATGTTCAGGAGTCGGGGCAGGTGGCAAGGATGACCACAGGGAGTCATCTAAGCAAACAGGAAGCAGGATCCAGAAACACGGTTCAATCACAGTTAGGTTTACTATGTTATAAAACACCCTGCCCTTTTACTGGAAAGAACCAGCTGAATAGAAAGCAAATCTACAAACTTGAAAAAACTAAGGCAATCACTGGTTTAGTTTTCATTAGTTAGAATCTAGGTAAAGAAAAATGGAATCAAACGTATAACTTATGTGACATAGGAACAAATTGAAAGCATTTATGAAGAATTATATTTTCTTAAGTATTACGCACCTTAAAAAGCTCAACAATAGCATAAAAAGCTAGGCTTGCAATATGAACTACTTAAGTAGCATAAGATTTTCAGAACCGTGTAATTTTCTTCCAAATTTACCTCTTTGGTTAGAGAAAAATTTTCTAAAATTATCATAATATTTTATAGTTGGTATACCAAGTTCTCGTACCTAATTACTGTATAGCTAGGAAGTTAACGGAGGGGGATGAAACCTGGAATGGTGATTTCTGGACTCTGGCCTTTTTCTGATATATCCAGTTGCCTGTTCCCCTGATGTTCTTTTATTTCCTCTTTCTAAACATATAATAATTCTCTTTATCTTTCTATCTACATTAGAGCTATTTAAAGATACAATTTTAAGTAAAGTCGTTCCTATCGCCCATGCAAAATACTCCCTAGCACAATTACTTTTGTTTTAAGCACAAGCACAATCAACCAAAAGGGAACCCCTGTTCCAGGACAAAAGCTATGTTAAGTGAGAAAAAGCGAACATAGCTCATACTCAGGATCCGCTGCCTGTCCTGGAATGCCTCCTACGAGCTATAGTTTATCTTTAATTTCTCATTGATTTAAAACAACGAAAACAAAAAACTAGAGTCCTTAGTGTGGCCAACACAATCCCTTTTTAAAATCTCTGAGTTTGGTTAGCAGGCTTTTCTAAATTGTAAAACAAAAGTAACTTTTTCAAGAGACAGGTCCCTAGGCAACAACATATAGAGAATATTTAACTTATCTTGAAGAGAGGAAAGGCTGTATCAGTATAAAAGCAAAGGAAGAAACTCTAAAGAAAAAAAATACAGAATTGACCCTGCAAAAATTAAAAATCACTCTAACAGAAAAAGTAATAAATTAAATGACACATTAAGGGAAAATTTTGCAATATATATGGAAAAGGATTCATTTTTACATTCCATAAAGAGTAGCTACAGATTAATGTCATAACAATAGAAAAATGGATAAAGAACTTAGGAAAATCATGAAAGAAATATGAGATAAATCAATTTATAAAAAAGTTTAACCTCAATAATAATCACAAAAATCTTAATAGTAAAATATTTTTCACCTATTATTATAAGTAAAGCTTTTAATATGTCTAATGCTCAGTGCTTGGAATGGTATATTAGAGAGCTACTCTCAAAAAATGCTGGTGCGAGTGAGTATTTATGCAGTCTTTCTAATGGGAAAATAAGGAGTACATCCCAAAAGGCCCAATTCACTGACACAAAATAACTCTTCTAGAAAGTTATTCCTTGGAAATAATCAGCATTATATGAAAAGAACAGTACAAGGAAAGCCTATCACAATGTTACAGTAGTAAAGTATTGGGAGAAAATTTAAATATGCAACAATAGGAAATTCTTTTTTTCCACAAATATATATATACACACATATATTTTTGTGTGTGAGAACATTTAAGTTCTACTCTCTTAGCAAATTTCAATTATACAATACAGTGTTATCAACTCTATATAGTTACCATGTTATACATTAGATCCTCAGACCTTATTCATCTCATAGCTGAAAGTTTTTAAACACAACAGTGTACATTAAAGTTGTGTTTTCAAAGAACATATCATCAGATTGCAAGCACCGTCACAACAAAAAAAAATCAAACAAGTACATGCAGAAGACAAAGCTTGAAAACGAAGGAAAAAGGGATATACATAGAATAAAAGACAATAAAAAATCCATCAAAATGCTGACAATGATTTTCACAGGCTTGTGGAATAGTTGATAAATTTTATTGTTTTCTTCACAGTTTTCTCCATTTTTAAAATGTGCCAGAATTTGTGTATTCTACCTTTATACTCGAGTGTAAGGAAAACTTTTTTTCCCCCCGAGGAAGATTCACCCTGAGCTAACACCTGTTGCCAATCTCCCTCTTTGTTTTGCTTAAGGAAGATTAGCCCTGAGCTAACATTTGTGTCAATCTTCCTCTATGTTGTATGTGGGATGCCACCACAGCATGGCTGCTGATGAGTGGTGTAGGTCTGTGCCCAGGACGCAAACCCAGGCTGCTGAAGTGGAGAGTGTCGAACTTAATCACTAAGCCACAGGGCTGGCCTCCAAAATTTGGGGGTTTTTGTTGTTGTTGTTGAGGAAGATTAGCCCTGAGTAACATCTGCCACCAATCCTCTTCTTTTTTGCTGAGGAAGATTAACCCTTAGCTAACATCTGTGCCCATCTTCCTCTACTTTATATGTGGGATGCCTGCCACAGCATGGCTTGACAAGCAGTGCACAGGTCTGTGCCTGGGATCTGAACAGGTGAACCCTGGGCCACCAAAGCGGAGCGCGCAAACTTAACTACTACGCCACCAGGCCAGCCCCCAAAATTTTGTTTTTTAAAGTGCTTAATGTTAAGGAGAAAAATGGCCCAGTGGCAATCTATTTTCCCACATGGCTGGATATTTTGTGTCTAAATACATGCTGTGCCACATACGTACATAATACCACAAACGCACACTAACCCTAAATCAAATCCAGCTTCTTTCCGTGGAGAGCATGTGTTTGTGCTGATTTCCAACTCTGAAAAATTATTTATCTAACATTCAACTACAAATTGCTAAGTGTCAAGAAGGAGATATAATAGTGGAGCCACTTATCGGGTCCTAATAGATGACAAAACAATGAGATGCACTTATTTTTTTCCTCTTTACTCTTTCAATAAGTGCTTATTCACTGCTCAGCTCACCAGTACTTACCTTGGCTTCTCCATCAGGTAAGAAGAGGTAGGCACCACTTTTGTCCCTTTTACTCGAAGTTCCATACCATGAAAACTGCACTTGTACTTTATGATGTCTACCATCTTCTTTATTTATCATTTTCTAAGCATAAAAAAAAAAAATTAAGGCAACTCACTATTAAGATATTGACAATGTTGCATCTGGTTCTATGCATATGTCAATTTAAAAAAAAACTACCTGGGGATAGTTTGAAAACTGCTACTGTTCAGCCTCTAATATTCACAATTCTTGGATGAACATCCACATTTTATACTTATCCTTAGGATTTGAAACCTTCACATCAGGAACAAAAAGTCTGAACACAGTTCATCAAGGAAGAAAGAGATACACAAATTAAGAAATCTTCACTGGTGTTTCTAAAACTTTCTGTAGTAAACAAGCAGGTTTATTTTTTATGTCCAATATGCATGGACCAATATTTTTGTAAAGTACAATAAAAGTGAATTACTAGAAAAATTATATTTAAAATGATATACCAAAGATATACTCAAATTTTTTATTTCTCGATTCAATAGGCATAAATGTGCTGTGTCAAATTGCTTTCAAAGTTTCCATAAACATTTCCATAAACATTTCTCAGCAGCCATGGCTTCCATCCTTATCTTGAGGACCGGTAACAAACACTTCACAGAGCAGCAGTACCCACAGAACACAATGGTGAGGAGGAAGTGGTCACTGCGGACCACAAAAAGGTACATAGAGCTCATCCATCCTTTCTCCCAGAGCACTTGTGTCGACTTTTTCTCCTCTGCATAAGTAATATTATGTAATATTGTAATAAAAGTGATAAGGCTTCTATGAATTTCAGAACTAACCAGAACATACCTCCATAAGCCCCGACTGACCAAACTGAAGCTTAATAAAGGAGTTTTCAAGAGTTATATCTTCTTCAGTACTTTTTATATTCTCCATTTTGAAAATTCCTTTATCTTCTATGTTACCATTATACAGGGCATATTCAGCTAAATGTGAATGTGAGCTTCTTGATTCTGAAATTGTATATACTTTTAGTCCCAATGGTGGCATCTGTGCTAGAAAAGAGATCTTTAAAAAATAGAGGAAGGAATTTATTAAAGAAAAATGTAATCTACTGAAGGAAAACCATTTACACTCCTAGTGAAAACAACAAATTACCCTATTTTTTGAAAAGAGAATATAATACCATTCTATAAATATGTTTTGATAACATAGGATAGAATATCCACATCTCAGTTTATCCACGGAAGCTAACTTCAAGTCAGTAGGATTATCAAAGGCACTAATGTTTTCATCCAATATATGAAATTACGTGACCATCCTCAATTGTCCTACAGTGCTCTTAATAGATGCTCAGAGCGGGAAATTCTGGATGAAGGTTAGGACTTACTATGAACTACAATTTTTCCTAATAATCATGGATCTTTTTACAATACTATGATATGTCAGTACATTAAAAATAAAAATGGTAAACGTAATAATATAAATATTAAGCACACTGGTTCAGTCAACACCAGCCATCAAATGCCTGGGGTCTAGCAGAGACTAAAGGAGGCACAGACGATGCACACACTGGAAGAGACGACCCCTGCCTCCCAGGAGCTACTGCTCCAGTTTCCACATGGGGTGTTTCCTGTAAAATCTGACCAAAACTTGCATTATACTTTTCCTTTCTATGTAAAGGATTATGGGTTTAGAAGAGTAACCAGCAATGGCTTTTAACAAGCAGAAGTAATTCTCTTCTAGAGTTCCTAACTTATGGCTGTGCCTTCAGAAGTACAGTTTAAACTACACTCCAGACTCTAAAAGTTCAACCTTTCTAGTCATTTGGGGGTTCAGTTTAATATTGCTTCTTTTAAGAAATTTTCCCCCAAAATGTCTATTACATGAACCCAGATTTCCCATAATTATATCTCAGGAAAAAAAATCTTATTCTAGGAAGTTTTTCATGTCACCTTTGCAATGGAAAGTTGAAAGTATCCAAAGTTATTTAGAAGGGTGGTATTTATCTCAATTCCAATACGTGTAATTGTCATTAAATTGTGTTAGACAAAAAAATTCAAAATTTTATGAGTAATGATTACTTCATTAGTTCAGGAAAAAGTTACAATATATACATACCTACAAAGGTACACAATATACATACTAATAGCATGCTAATAACAACATGCAATATACATACTAACAAAGATATTAATATTTTGGGAAACAGAATCTATTTTCATTTAGCGTCATTTACCTGGTCAGTTAAATCTTCTGGTATTTACAACTTTAACCACTTCACATATACCAACTTGACAGCTCAAGGAGACATGTATACATAAATATAAACTATACTGCCCATGCTTTTCTTTTATGATGCCTCTTTAAGTTCTAGGGTAAGAACCTACCTCGTAGGCTGTCTTTGAAATATTATCCGCTGTATCCCACACTGCACTCATCTGAATCTCCACAGGCTTTCCTGAAGCAGAAGACAGCAGCACTGTGGGGGAACTCACACAGATGGAGACCATCGATTTTCGGTCTTGTTCTGAAGGATTATAGATCACAAGATACCTGCAAAAACAGCTGCTTTACTATTGGGATCTCAAAACCTTTTTAGTTCTTTAACACTGTTTTTAAGATCTCAGCTCATAGATGGTCATAGAGTCAACATGTCGAGAAGAATTAGAAGCAATAGTCTGGTAAAACTTTTGGAGAACAGGCAATTTCATCGCAACAAATACCACACAGTACAAAGGGTAATGAAATAATTATCCACTTTCTAAGAATAAATGTTATACAAATGGAAGTTATTAATAGAACTGTAATAAAAATATTTCCATCTCCTAGAAAGTGATCTATATACATATGGTTTAACTGATCTGTCTAAAAGAATCAGACCTATACAACTAATATCCAGATTCCGGTCTAAGCTCGCTGAATAAAAAAACACATAAATTATCTGTTTGCAATTTAGCCATAATTAATTTCCATTAAAATTCTGACATTCATTTTAGACCACTAAAACACAGTGAAAATGTATAGCTATCCATGTAGAATCACATAATTCATACATTTATTTTATATACAGAAGGCTCTTATTATCCAAGACAGCTGGTTCTAGAAAAAAGGCCATTTGACGTGAATCCCCTTAAAATAGGGGCTAAAATTTTATAATAAATACTGACGGGAAAAAAAAAGATTTGGGACTTAGCTAGAACAAGGAAAATAAAAACTACTAAAACAAGTTTAGGCAATATTTGCGACTGTATGCAACTCTAAGAATGAACAAAAAAATGAATGAACTAGAGTTTTGGGCAGAATTTTTCTAACAATATTTTACACTAGCACATTATGATATCCTTCATGTAACATTTAATCTTTACAAGATGGTTTTAAACATAACTATATTTGTAAAAAATAGTCAAGGACTTTATCATTTTTCCTAAAGTACTCTCGTAATTCTTTGATATTCAAATAATTCTCAATCGAAGAACTTAACATCCTTGGTTTTCTCATTAGCATAACTCTGCCAGATCCTCATTGTTTCATGCCTTCGCCTGTGAGTAGAAATGTTCTAGACCATCATGTCACATACTTTGCAAGATTTATGATTTCACTTTATAATCAATTTGTATCACATTATCTTCAATTAAATCAAAGAGTACTTCAGAGGATGTTCGACTAATAATATAACTTACTGACTCATTAGTGAATATTTTCACAATCTGAAGTATTTTGTTTTCCTATACAATTTTTTCACTGTGAGAACACAGAACTGAATGGTCAGATAGCAATTGCTGCTCCCCCTGAGCCACAGTAGCTATATCAGACATGGGCGAAGCAAGCTGGCATCGTTTATTTAGTGCATCAGGAAGCCTAGTAGTGGTCTTCTATCCTACATATGTGTCCTGTATATTTCAACTGTATTACAAACCATTCATTAAGAAATAAAATTAATACATACAGTGGCCAAAACTAAAGCCAAGGACAATAGGAAAACACGAAGAAAAAGAAAGAATGTAGCATAAAACCTACAAAACATCTGACTTACAAACCGCTTATCAGAAGCAGCACTTATGATTGAAACAATATTCTGAGACACCAAAGGTAACAATATGAAAATAAGAATGTCTCTAATTCCTATTAGGCTTATAGTATGCCTCAGGATCACAAGACCTAACATCACTTACGGGCATTGAGATTCCTTATGTATACGAGAGAAGAGAAGCTAGAGCCATGTTCTCAAAAACATATTCATAAAGGGTACTGAAGCCGCCGAGTACTAAATAAACTCCATTTTATCCACAGAAGTCATTTTCAACCAGACTGAGGGTAACACACCCTTGAGAGGTGTGCTCAACAGACTTACTTAAGAGATGTGTCAACCTACTTGCGCACTCCCAGTGCCCTCTACCAGAGCTTATACTTCACCTGACTGTTGTCCCACCACAAACACACCTAGAGAATCACAACTGCCAGGATTCAGTTACAGACAGGATTGCACTATATTCCTAATGTGCCCTGGGGAGGAAAAACAGTTGAGAATCACTCATCCTCAGCACCAAAGATGTCCAACCCAGCATTCTAGAAATGAGTGATTTACTACTGAAATCTCATGTTCCCAAAGGCTTAGAGTGAGCACGTGAAGAAATGTGGAAGACATGGTCTGAAGATTTAGGCCAGTCTCCTAGTTCTGCAGAAGCCCTGGGGGACATCCCACTAGCAAGTTCTTTGGACACTCCACTACACAGAGCTAATCACAAAGGCTCTGATAATAACATGTAACATGTGCCCAAGCAATCAATTAGGTAATAAGCATCCAGAACACTGATTCCTTGCCGTGGGGGAAAAAAATGACTCACGTTTAAAGCAAATAATAATTTTAACCATACATTTGGTTTTATACAATATTAAACACTTTTTATAATAAGCTGTGAACTAGGTTCTGTTTTGTTTCATTTTAGTAGCTAATTAGTATTTGACCATAATGATGTTTCTACTGTACTGAATGATTATGTAATTATCATGCCAGGAATCTATTCAAAAAACTACATGTGTAGAGTATATGAGTACAATGTTGCTCTAAGAAAATAATTTTTTAACATAATTAGAGATTCACAGCATGTTCTTCAAGTGCATCACAGCACAAATGTGTCTGACATACACACAAACCCCTATGTACATTTTAAGTACAGTACAGAGAAAGCTGATCATATATAAATTATATTTCCTTTGGAAATAAGTACATTACCACAAATTAACTAAATTTTCACTGCCATCATCATGTTTGGTAGGCAAACATTTGTTATACTGCCAGTATCCCCAAACACGAGCTCTTCTAAAACTGTCACTTGTGAAGGGAACCAATGGTTTCAGTACGACATCATTTTATCATACTCACTTATTGAACATTAATATTTGATGCACACCAACAAAAGAAAAGAGTGATATTTATGTTCTGAAAATGCGGATAGTTAATTTCTACTTTACCTTGGAAGTAACTATATAGGAAGCTCAGAACTTTTTTCCCCCAATTTCCTACACATTTGCATTAGCTTCCTACCTATCGTCTTGTCACAAAGTCATAGCCAACCTCCTCGTTCTCATGACACTAAACACCCACAGCTTGGGGTTACGGGCAATTATTTCAACTCTCTATGTACAAGAACAACTCTCATCTCATGAAGACAAAGCACTCATATGCTCCCTGTCAATCAAATTAGAGGGCAGAAGATGATCTACTTTGGCTGGGATAAAAAGGAACGGAGAAAAATGAAGCATAATTGTACGATTATGTTAAACTGGGAATCACTTTATGGAAGAACTAGAATCCCACTATAAACACGGTTCTGAAAATTCTGAGGATGAATATATTTAGAATTCCTTCACACCTTTTGTAGAAATGATTTATGTCATGTTAAGAAAGACAACTGTGGTAATCCAAGTTCTCTCTTTGAGGTAATTCTGATCAGTACCCACTATAAACAACAGAATAGGACCACATGGGTTTCCTTCCAGGACTGGATGAAGGGCAAAGCGGAAGGAATAGGCCCTTGGTCAGAATGAGCTTGGAGTTTTCACTCCAGAGCGCTTCCTGTATGCCAGGCCAAGTCTTCAGGCCTGTATGGGCAACCTACAAGGCACATCCTTTCATCCTTTCCACTGGACAGATAAGGAAACTGAGGTTCAGAAAGGTTAAGTATGTCGCCAAAACTCACCCAGCTACAAGTGTCACATCAGGGCTTAGAACTCAATCTCACCCCTAAAGCCATCTTCTTAACCACTTCACTCACAGGCCACGTGTATAGGAAACTTTTTGACAAGTGTTGTTTCCTGTAGAGACTCCCTTAGTTCCAAATTCATACATGAAAAACTTTCTTCTCATGGATGCCAAAGATCTCCACAGAGCCTCTCTCTTGAAGAAGCTCAGATTGAACAAAAAGCTACTTACATCTCATGTATATTATATTTACAAAAGAAAATTTATAAATTGGAACATTGAAACAGAAACAATCTCGTGATACATATTAAGGAGATCATCTTATGACCTCATTGCATGAGGTAAGCTAGAACAATATTCAAGGAAACATTTAAAAATCACTGCATACTTTTATGACGGTGAAAGGAAGACAAAAATGAAAAATATTTGTAAGTCCCCTGTAAGCGTAGTTTAAAACCTGTCAAGCAGACACTAGGTTATATGAAAAATAATTCTAACTTCATGTGCCTGGAATAGAATAACATTCAATAAATAGTTGATGAGTGAGCAATGCATAAAAATCCCACCAGGAGAATGTACCATTTGTAAATAATACCTATTAGAATGGGGCTTTATAGTTTTATCAGATTACTTTTATTTTGATATTTCAATTCCTCAAAAAGTACCTTTAAGGTCAACAAGACATATAATTAATCCCTTTGCAAAGATAGAGGAAATGACAGATCCAAGATCAGAGAGATAGGTAAAAACAAAGATTAGAGCTGAGGTTGGCTGATTCTTAATGACAGTATATTAAAAAAATCATTTCAAAAAAGAATATATTCATCTTCTCTAAGTAACCTCGTTAGTGGAGCACAATCTAAAGAAGAGTATTAACCTATATATAGTATTCTAAATATATATATAGTATAACCTATATATAGTTTTCATGGAAATATATGGATTTATATGTTTATGAAAATTGCAATTTCCAGATTTGGAGTCCTTTTGATATAGTCCACCTAGCTTTTTAGGTTTCAAACATAATTCTTACCATATTAGCCAGGAGAAAAACAAAGTCAAGATACTAAAAACATAGGGAGGCTTTTGGAGGTCTTCAATAATCACACTCAGTTTTGTGATTCCTGGGCTTTGCAGCCAGACATGTTCAAGCTCAAAGCCCTACCACGGCACTTGGAATTTGGGAGGCTTTGGACAAGTTATTTCATTTCTCCAAGCCTTAATATCATCATCAGAAAATCAGGAGACAAGATTGTTGTTTGGATTAAATGATAAAATGTTTGGAAAATCACATAGCTCAGACCTGGCACAAAGTATAATCTCAATAGCAATTAATTTCTCTCCTTTCTCT